TTCTAAACAAAACCAAAGACCACAGTAATCTGTCTACAGACACTTCTGAGCCAAAGATGCCTCATTTCAAAATTAGTGAATTTTAAGGACCACAGTCCACAGAGTATCGACAGGAAGATGTGGCCTGAGTACTCTGGAAGCAACAGACTAGAGAACTGGTTACTGGAAAGAGATCTGTAGCATCAAACCCAGCCCTTGCTCCAGCTCCTGTAACTCCGCAAAGTCCCATCTCTGTCTAGCAGATGGCAAAGTGGAGACACAAACTGTTGCTTCTGCTTGAAGACTCTGACTGTGCAGCCCTGACAAAAATGGCAGCTGACCAGCACCTGCATTCCTCCCCTTAACACCTCCTGCTCATCTTTCCTTCTTTTGCCCTGCAGAAATTTCAGAAGCAACAGTTCTACTGCTTGTAGGACAGTCTTCCCCAGCAGTAGAGAAACAGATGACACTGCACTGAAAAGTGGTAAAAGTCTGTTTTGGAACTGCGGGAAATCACACCAATCTTTCCTGTCCAAAGAAATTCCCATCAGCAGCCAAAGAGACACTTTTCAAAGGGAGCTGAAAAGATGAGCTGGTGCAGAGAATAGCACTCACAGCATGGAAAGGCAGGACGTGAAACACAGGTTTGCTCATGGCAGACTGAAGCGTGGTGAACCTGTGAACGAAGGCCATGACGAAGAGCCATCTTCTGCAGTCCTTCCACAGAAAGCTGAGAGATTTGCCACATCTACTCCTTCTACTTCTGCAAACCTTGGCACTCCCAAGGATACACGTTAATTTTATTTTTATAAAGAAAAAAAGTTTTGCTCCAAAGTTTTTCTGCTTCAATAAGAAAACATGGGCAGACCCTCTTCATTAAGCCAAGGAGTGAGACCACCTAAACTACTGGCTGCTAATAACGGTAGGAAGACAAAAGGTCTGACCCACCAAGACTTAGCAGATGCAAGCAAATCAAGGTCTTGCCAAAGGAAGCGGGGTACTTCTTAGGAGGGAGACATAAACCTTGTTTCTGAATGTCAGCTTCCTTCCCAGAGCTGCGGCAGCAGGACAGAGATTGCCAGTGCAGAAAATGACTGCTGATGGTTGCAGTCCTCCACTGAGGTCCTGCAGGTGAATGGCAATGCATCCCTTCAAAAGCTCAGCTATCAGCTGGTGTTCTTCCACTGAAGCACAGATAGCAAGAGCAGCTAAAGACAACATAGAAGTGTCTGTACCAATTAAGATCTCGACAGGCTACCTTACACAGGCAGGAACGGTTGCCAGATACACAGGTGCTGGAATCAAAAAAGCGTTGGAGCAAATGGCTGCAACTCCTTGAGTAAAGCCTGCTGAAAGACTTGATGTCCTGCAGTACTCTTGCTCTAGTGCCTGCTCAAAGTTCAGGTCCTGTTTAACTACATATCCAAAACAATCCACTCGGATACTTAATTGGCATAGTCTGAGTGTTCTCTGAAAAAATATGAATTCGAGTTACGGCAAAACCTAAACTCAACATTACAGGTATTAAAAAAAAAAAACAGCAGTTGCATCACGATGGCAAAATTCAAGATTGATAGGGGCTCTATCGGCACTCATTTTTGCCAGTGAAACCACACTCCTGAAATAAAACTGAAAAGATTTCAGTCTTGTCATAGCTACCATAAGTCATGAATGGCTGGAACCTGCTAATTTACGATCAAAATAGGCTTTCAATAAAATGATTAGAGATATAATACACAACATCCATGACTAGATGGTCCACAAACATGTGCTACAGTATGTTTAGCAAGACTGAAGGCCTTTCAAGCCAGGCCAGAATAAAGTGATCCCACTTTAGCCACAACTGATCCTAGAATACTGACTTGCTCTGAGCAGTTAAAAAGCTTTTAAAACAGAAATAAGCAAAGGATCTGTAGTGTCTAAGCGCAAGAAACACTGCACAATTTATTTTGCCCTATGTTACAGTACTACTGAAAGATGAAAGTGAAGAAATATATGACATTGTATAACAGATCTTCTAGCCTTTTTAATTTAAGTCTGTGCAACAGTATATGGCTAATGTTCATTGGCAAAATTAAATTCAACTACAAAAATTTTGAAATCTGACTATGGCAATTAGAAATTCTACATACAATGCAGCCAGCCCATTAACAGCCTACACCCCTGCAGCATTTTCATATTAGAATTTCTTATATTCTTCCTAAAAGCAAGAATTTTTGCTCATAATTAGTATTTTTTCCCCATGTTAAATAAATCATAATGTTCTTGAAAACATTTTTCGTAATCAAGCAGGGCTTAAATCTTTACAGATCCTTGTTCAAACATGAGTGGGGATGAACATTAACACCATTGGGCATTGACTGATCAGTTGAGAATAACTTCTACCTCAGAAACCCAAGGCTAGAGATACACTGCTGAATATACACTGCATTTATGCCATTCCCGACCACAACCAGGACATAGCCAGAGCATCACGTTTGGGAGGAACAGAGTTCACCACCTTGTAGAACAGGATCTCTGGTTTTCTTCCAGTTTCTAAACAGCTCTGCAGTGGATGGGGCTGACTCCATCTAACATGACATTGCCATTGCGATATAAATAGTGTCTTATTTGCCTTCTTCAGAGGAACAATGTTAGTCAAGAAAAAGGTCAAATGGTTTTGCCATGGGGGAAAGGAGCAAAAATCGTTTGTAATGTAATACTGCCCCCTTTTTTTTTTTTTTTTTGGAAGACAGGAGACTCCAGGTGCTAGTCACATAGGAGGGAGAAGAACACAGAAGAGAAGACAAGGCATATTTATCTAGTCTATAGTAGCACAAAGCAGTATTATTTCAATCATTTCTTAAGGCCCAAGAGGAACTTGTATTCACCCAGCATCTCACTGATCTAATTTCTACTTGGAATCCTGCAAACTCTACAGACAAAGTCTGCTCAACCCTGCTAACTTTGAGAATGCAGAAATAAGTTATAGCTGCAGGCAAGTCTAGGACAGATGTACTTGATACACCTAATAAATGTATTTTTTTCTTATTCCACAATGCCTATTGCATTGATGATTTTAATTAATAGAGCTTTAATAAACATGACTTTTACCCATAGTTAGCCATCTAATTGATCAATTTTTAGCCAAATGGGAAAAATACTCAGTTTTAAGTCTTTAAATACATTATACAATGTGAGGTTACTGCTACCAACCCTCAGATAAGGGCTACACAAATATCCACATGTATTTGTTAAGGTTGCTTTCAAGCATTTTTCTTATCCTACAGGAAAGAAAGCAGCTCTGTTACAAAATCTGCATGCAAGACAGGCCGGTATATTCACACACAGTTGAACTAGAGAAATACATATAGCTGGGAAGTGAAATTTCTACAAATTACTACATGAAGGTGACCCAAAGCCCGATTTATTGCTAGCTTTTTTTTATTGCTTGCCTTTATTGCTTCCAGCGCACTGGTAATCTGTGCACACGGCAATACTTCAGTACTAATGGAAATCAGTAAAAAAGGTCACATGCGTGTCAAACAGTTGCATTACACATTCTAAAAATACTTGTAGGTCCTGTTTGTTAGAATGGCACCGACCTTTCTTTGTGTCATCTGCGCTGCCTGTGCCACTCACCGGGTGCAGCCTGCACCTACAGCTCACGGTATGCAGGGTGGAATACATCCTACTCAGTGGAAATAAGGGTAATTGCTAAACTTGTTATCAACCAAATTAGAAAGTAAAATAATTACAGCAAATTTCCCCCTGGGGCATCTTCTGCAGACTACAGAAGACTTTTAAAATACTCCAAACCAGTCCATCTTTCCTGGGAAACACCGCACATTAAAAACTAATTGTTTATCATTAAATTAAGTTACAGCATGTAAGGGGAACGAGATAAACGTATCTGACTTGACAGGAATAGTGTGCTTGGCCCAGACCCTGCAATACAGAGGCAGCTTGCAGGTTATTTTTGCAAAACATGTTTATGCAGTGACTTTAAGCCTTCAGGCTAAACATAACACGGTGCAAAGGGCTACAAGAGAGAGAATGAGCAGGTCCCCTCAGCTAGCCATCTTTACTGCTCTAAAGAAAAAAAAATTGAGATGCAGCAGGAAAGACAACAAAATGTATGTAAGAGCAGTAGTCCTGTACCAAGAGAATTAAAGGCTCCAGCTATTATTCCAGCCTTAAAAGTAAAGCATCTCCTTGAGTCATGACTAGCAGAGGGATTTCGCTTTCCACACTGCTCTGCGAAGGTGGAGTGAATCCCACCAAGCACTGAACGCAGCGTGACAGCCTGAACCACGGGCAGCACAGACATCGTAAGGGCACACAATGCACTTCAAGCAAAAAGTGCTTGCAGTGAAGTATCGCTGAAAGAAAATCCAGCAGAGCATGCATCTTCTGGCGTTTTCATCTCAAACCAGAAATTTTCCATCCTCCCCTCCCTCCCCCCCCCCCCAAAAAAAAAAAAACAGATTTACAATTAATAGATCTTCCTTCAGACTTCTGAAAAGTTTCTGAAAATGCTTATCACATGAACCTTAGTTAGGAAGACTGAAATTGAGGATTTGAAAGAGAAATTAAGAAAAACTCCATATTTATATAATAAAACAAAACCTAGAGCTGAAGCTTGAGAAAAGCAAGGAAATGCAATGTTTCTAACACTTTCCTTTATCAAACAATACACATTCAGGATTTGCATTTCCCAGCTGCTTTCTGGAATTCTCTTTTTTTATTTTAAATGCATAATGGGGAAGTAAAGCAAGATAGCTTGTACCTTCATGCCTTCAGGCTTTTTTGTTTGTTTGTTTGCTTTTAAACAAGGAAAGTATATAGATAATGACTGGTTATGATTACCAAGAAATACCTAAAGAAAATGAGTTTTTCAAAATGCCCCATCCAAATGCATTAGCAATTAGAATCTCCTCAAGTTTCCATTAGTCTGTCAAAACAAGAAATAATCTTATAGCAGTTCTGACTGAAACTCTTCAAGATTGTCACACTGATTGAATTTCAAAGTATAGACTTACAAATTCGTAGTCTCCATCCTGTGGCACTTTCCAATCAGATGAATTTTTTGTCTGGCCAGACACATTCTTCCCAAAGCTATTGATTTGATTCTCCTTCTCCTTCTGCTCGAAATATTCAAGGAATGATGGTTTGGCTGGCTGCACCGTTTCATCCCTCCCTGGAATTATTAAAAAAAAAAAAAAACAACAGTTGTTTTGAAAAATATATTTTCAGTTATACCGCCTTACATCATGCCCAAAAGTGATTTTATTTTTTTTAGCACACACTAAATCAAATAATATTGCTAAAGTACTATTTTTTCAGCAGCTTTTGAACCATAAAACTGACTGTACAGTGGGAATGCTGGAGAAAGGAAGCTTAAAGCCCACCGTGCAAGTGATTACAATGCTGGAGGCCTTGGCCTCAAGACCTGCAATCCAGCCATCAAAGCACACTACCAGGTAACCGAGCTTCACGCACTGAATGCTAGAACTAAACTGCTACCAACTAGGGAGACTGGGTTCCTTTCATCCCAGCTGGGTTGCATGCACTGCAAAATATGCAGAGTTCCAAAACTAAACAGTGTTGTTTTACAAGCAGAAACCCATCTTTATATTTTTGAATAGAAAAGTACAAAAGCAAGGCTTTCAAAGATCACGTCTACCATACAAATATCACATAACTTGCCTTGGGTAGAAGTAGTCAAATTCTACATTTCTTGGGTAGAAAGGATTAGTTCTTTTGCAAAGCTTTTTTTTTTTTTTTTTTTTTTTTTTCCGTTTTATAAACAGTAAGTTTACTTCCCTGGTTTTCTTTTTGTAAATTAATTCCTCTGAACACACCTTCTTAGTGGATGACTCGAATAAGCCAGATATATAGATTAACTACTCAATTCTAGACTTCGTTTAAGAAATTGAGATAGTAAGAAATGGGCAAGGGTACAAAAAGACACAGAGGACTCAACCCCCTAAATACGAATACTTTTGCTTTTTAAAACCAGGTCTCATAAGCCTCCCAATAATCATTCTCAATAACAAAGAGTTCACTCATACTGATGGGAGAAGAAAGGATATAGCCAAGAGCACAAAAAGCTTTAGCACAACTAGATTTACATTATTCTCATTTGTCTAAATTACTCTTTAGAACAAGCAGGAGTTAAAAGAAAAGGAAGAATGCTGCTGATACATTAAAAGCAACAAGCTAGTAAAACTACATCCTCATAGGGTGCCCAGATACGTGGGGTAGTTGGTGGTATTAGGGATACGAGCACTTGTGTGTCCCTTCTTCCTTTAGCCATTGCAACATCTGAGTCCCTCCTCATGTGATTTAAGTACCATTACATACAAATAAATCTAGCAATCCATTCAGCAAATAGGTTTCTATCACTGAAGGAAGAAACACAGGGTGACAAGTTTCCAGATGAAAGCAGATCCCCAGTGCTGTTTGGAGAGAGGAGGAGGGCTCCATGAACAGAAGGCAGCTTCAGCTGCAGGGTGACAACAGAGCAATAGGGAGGGAAGTGATGAAAGGTGAGAGGACAAAAATATGGATTCCTAGTACAGACAGCGTAAAAGCCAATACAGGAAGAGAACACAAAATTTAACTTCAGAGCAACTCAAGGTGGAAAGACTTTCAGTATCTCCAAAGGAAGGTTTCTTTACTAGTGCAACTGGTACAGCATCAGATGCTGTCCAGACTACTCAACACTTAGAACTGGACTGTCCTGTGAGTTACAGTACCCCCAATATCTTATAAAGAGTCTCAATTTAAATGAAGAGGCAGGTTTGCACAGCAAGCATGCTTTAACAGTGCTGCACCACAAGACCAGGACAGTTGCAAACTCAGCTAAAGACTACTCACAGCTTAATGCCAGTGTGCTGCTCTTTATGATAAAATGCTCCATAAAAACCTGTGAGCATAATGGAAGTAAGCACTGTAACAATACCTAGTAAAATGTTTTTGCTCTGATAAAATATCATTCTCTAGGTACTGGAGTAGATTACTCACAGTTGAAACATACATTTTAAGCAATACAAAGACCATCATGTTCAGAAAGCAGGATTAGGACTCGAGTTAACAGAAAATGGCATCAGAATAGCCTGATTCTGGACTGTGGAATTAAATTCACTGTTGAATGCCATACATTTGAAAGAAATAAAATCTGTCAGGCAGACAATCAACCCACAGTTTAGAGCTTCATATAAGCACACAGGGGATGGAACCATCCTTTGATGGACTTGTAGGGTCTGCATAATGTAGACTCTCCTACAAGGACAGCAGGCAGGCTATCACAAGACAGTCCTGACTAAGGACATTCAGCTGTGCTTTCCTCTTGAAAAAATATTAGCTACTCTGGAAACCCATTAAGATTTAATCACCTAATATTATTCTTGCACATAAAATCGCCATCCAGTGATCCAGAACTTCCCTGGCAGACTCTGATCCTCAGACAAGCGTATGAACTCCTCAGTCAGCTATGAGATACTTTAGGAAGTTATTTGACTACAGATATGTTAAATACAGAACAAATTTCCGCAAAGTATGAGAAATCTTGGCAGGATATTTGGGTTGTAATACTGAGAGAAGCGTAGTTCTACATAGCCTGAAATGTCATGATGCACTTTGAAAAAGCACTGCATTTTACTGCCTCTCCAGGGTCAGCTAAAAGCTCAAGCATGAACTGAAATGCTTATACTTTTGCACTATAACAAATGGAGCAAAGACAAATTATTCTACCCCTGGCAATAGTTCCCCTTTTTAACAAAAAAACAAAACAAAACAAAACAACCAAAAAACAAACCAACTCATCGTACAGATTTAGATCAAGGAGGACATCTTCAGACAGACAGGCTGCACGAAGGTCAATCGGGAAACACGTCTGCAATGTGGACGACAGATTTGCTGTTGGGAATAATTACTGAAATACAACAGTAATCCAATTACCGCTAAGCGATAAAACATTTATTTAGAATTAAGTAAATACACCCCTCCTATTCTGCTGCAGTCCAGCCTGTTTGAAGCAGGAGGTAAAGTGTTATGGCCAGTTGTGTCAATATTTGACATCAACAAATTTTGTAGAAATAGAGGAATTCATAACTACCTCAGCTAATCTATACACAGGGTACTGACAGGTAGCCTAGGTCTCAGTAATTCAGGCTTCCTAGGGGAAAAAAAAGAAAATATAAATCAAGCTGGTACTCTATGTTTTCAAATCAATTGTTTGCAGCACAGGAGACTTTGAAAGCAAGTGTTTCACTCCAGTGACACTGGCTTATTCAGTTCTTTTCCATTTATTTTTTTTTAATTAAAAAAGACTGTTTGCTCATACCAGAGCTTAATTCAAAGTGTCACTTAAAATAACCATGCTCATTTCTCCACATCTTGCATTTTACCAAGAATTGCAATATTTGTAAACAACTAGTTACATCTACTGAGCAACAACCTACTGTAGCGTCACTGAATTATTGAAAGGCATATCCAAACCCAAGCTTTATTTAATAAAACTTCTGTTTTCATGCAGAAATTAAAGAAGGAAGCACATGGTAGTGGTGGTGGTAGTTTATAATCCTGAAGAGTATGACTAGATTTTCAGCCCCACCAAGAGCTGGGGGGCTGCAGCAGAAGGCTGCCAGGACACCAGAGGGGTCTCTGCCATGCTGAGAGGGCGGGAGGGAAGGGGGGGCTGAGCCTGAGGAGAGCAGGAGGGACTCAAGCTGCGGCCTCCCACCCCAGCAGGCCCCCCAGAGCCCCACTCTCCCCAGAGAAAGGATGAGAGGAACGGTCTGAACTGCAGCCAGGGCAGCTTGGCTGAACGTAAGGAAGTTTTCACAACAGGTATGGTTGTGCAACGGAGCAGGGCCGACCGACTGTGCAAGGCACTGAGCAACCGGATCTGACACCGCGCTTGGTCCCAGCCATGGCACAGGGAAGGGGACTGCTGACCCCACAGCGAGCCCTGACAAGCCAAGCTCTTCTGTGACTCACACTCCTCACACCCACTGTCAGACACCTCTAACTTTGCAGTCACCTTAGGCCTTTCAAATGCATGCAATGTTTAGGTACTGATTTTAGTACATTTCTACACATCAACATGTCATACCATCTTTATTTAGCGTTGGTTTATTTTTTGTTTAAACTGATTAAAATAGAGATTGCTAACTGACAAAGAAAAAATGGAAAGAAGTAAAATATAAAATGAAAAATAGCTGAAATACAGATCTAAGATGCCTGAAATTTTAGTTGCTGCTATGATCTCAGCAGGGGTATGCAGCAAGACCGACATAAATGCTCCTGGAGACAGAAAGACATTACACTAAATCAATTATCATCCCAGCATGACAGGATTTCTTTTTGTCAATCTTGGCACTTAACAGAAGTGTCATCTTTCGAAAGATGATCTGCTATTAATTCAACATAAGAATCGCTCCACTATATCTTTAAGATTTTGATATCAGGCAGCTGAAGACAAAAATCGATCACTGCTATTTGCAGAAGCAGATGCTGCTGAAAGATGACACCGCACTAAATGTGTCTGTGCCAAAAAGCATTTAACTTCCTAGTTTTATAGGGTTAGACTAAAATATGAACATTTGACAGAAAGTGAGATCACAACTGTGGCAGAGAAGTGCCTTTTATGAGAAGGTCACCCTGTGGTGACAAGAAAGGTTTCACCATGCATTTATTTTAGAACCTAAAGAGTTGCTTATAAGGATGAGCCACGAGAGCTCCCTGGAGCCATTAACGGTCTGCCATTTACGTACGCAGTCATCTTTTAGGAGCTGAATTAATTACACAAATGGAACACCACAGCTCTGCTGGAGCCAGTCCAGCTGACTGCAGAATTTGCAGGTTTGGGCTAGCTGTACAGAGCCACAGGCACTGCGAGGATCACTCATCGTGCAGCCTGCTGTGCAGTGAAGAGCAGAAGCCTTCCATGGAAAACTCACAAGTGCTGCCAGGTATAAAGTCAAGTTCAGAAAAGTACAAGAATATCAGTATTGTTGTACGTGAGAACAGGAAGAGATGTGCAATTGGTGGGTCCAAAGGTAAAGAATGATGTAAATTGTGAACAAATATCCCCTTAGAGTTTGATTTTTAAAGAAGAACCAAGCTTACTACCCATTTCAGTAACAGTGGTACCCTTTCAGCACCACAAAGCAAAGTCCGACCACACGTGGT